GAACAGAGTTGATAATCTGAGTTAATATCCCCAGATTTATGCACAGGTAATCTAGAGCAAAGGAACTAAGTATATAAAGTACAGTAAAGAAAATTTCTTCAGCAAATGGTGCTGGAAAATATAGAGAGAAAGAAAGAAAGAAAGAAAGAGAGAAAGAAAGAAGGAAGGAAGGAAGGAAGGAAGGAAGGAAGGAAGGAAGGAAGGAAGGAAGAACTGTACCTCACACCATTCATAAAAGTAAACTCAAAATGAATTAAAGATCTCAAAATTAGACTGGAATCCATACCACACATTGAAGAAAACATCATCAGCACTCTAACATCATCAGGAAATTAACCACAGAGGAGTCTTCGAAGAGATAATCACAGAGTCAATGACAACAAAAAAGTAGACAAATGGGACTATATCAAATTAAAAAAAATTTGCATAGTGAAAGAAACTCAAACTATAATAAAAAGACAATATGCTAAATGGGAGAAAATATTTGTACACAATAAATCAGATAAAAGGCAAATATCAAAGATCTGTAAAGTACTCACAAAAGTAAACAACAAAAAATTCTGACAACTCATCACAACAAATGGGGCAAGATGATGAACAGAGACAGCCAAGGAAGACAAACAAGATGCCCAACATGCTTATGAAAAAGTCATCACTGTCACTCATGATTAGAAAGATGCGAATCAGAGCACCACTGAGATATCATCTCATATTAGTGAGAATGGCACATATCAAAAATGTCTGTAAACAACGTGGTGGTTGGGTTATGGCGAGAAAGGAACTGTCAACTACTGTTGATAGTAATGCCATCTGGTTCAAACCCTGTGGAGTGCAATATAAAGATCTCTCTCTTAAAAAAAAAATAGAAACAGAATCCCAGTATGACGCAGCAATACCACTTCTGGACATCTATCCTCCAAGCACAAAAACATTCATTTGAAAGGATATACGCACATCGATGTTAATTGTAATGCTTGCCAAAAATAGCCAAGATGTGATCTTTGTATTTTTGCGGTAATTTCTACTGTAATTTTTCCCCCTCTCACTTTTAGATTTTTTGGCTTTTTGGGTCACATCTGGCAATGCACAAGGGTTACTCCTGACTTTGCACTAAGGAATTACTCCTGGCAGTGCACAGGGGACCATATGGGATACTGGGGATCGAACCCAGGTGAGCCACATGCAAGGCAAATGTCCTACCCGCTGTACTATTGCTACAGCCCCTTCCGCCTTCACTCTTGATCTTATTCGTTACACTTCTTTTTCTTCATGACCCTAGTAAGGGTTGATCACTTGATTAATTCTTTCAAAACATCCACTCTGATTTCATTGATCTATTGTACTTTTTAAATGTACACATCATCGATTTTGCCATGATTTTTATTTCTCTACTACTGACCTTTGTTATTCTTTCAGAGTTTCTTAAACTGTGAGGTTACTTTATTTACTTAAGCCTTTTCTTATTCCTAGATAAAAGAAGATCTTTTTCTTAGACCAGAGAGATGATAGAGGATATAGGGTGCTTGCCTTGCTCATGCCTGACCCAAGTTCTATTCCCAGCAACCCATAAATTCCCCTATCTCACCAGGAGTAATCCCTGAGTGCAAAGCCAGGAATAAGTCTGGAGCATAACTGGGTGTGACCCTGCTCTGAAGAAAAATTTTTCTTGACGAAAGCCTTCTTATTTATTTCTAGGAATCAATTTTCTTGATTTTCTCTGATTCAATGGTTGTTCAGTAGCACCTGTTGTTCAGTTGTGTAGTTTCCAAGTACTTTTTTTTTCTAGCTTTCTTTTAATGGTTAATTTCCATTTTCATAGCTGTAGAGCAGATATTTCAGAGTAATTATTTGGATTGAATATAATCGACTACCATATACAATATTGTTTTTTATAACTGTCTAGTGGGGACTGGAGTGATAGCACAGAGGCAGGGCATTTGCCTTGTATGCGGCCAACTTGGGTTCAATTCCTAGCATACCATTGGTCCCCTGAGCACCACCAGGAGTAATTCCTGAGTGCATGAGTCAGAAGTAACTCCTGTGCATCGCTGAGTATAACAAAAAAGAGGGGATATATATATATATATATATATTTTCCCCCTTTATATATAGAGGCATATGTGTGTGTGTGTGTGTGTGTGTGTGTATACACACACATACCTCTCAGAGAGCTTAGCAAGCTACTGAGAGTATCCTGCCCTCACTGCAGAGTCTGGAAAGCTCCCTGTGGTGTATTCGGTGTGCCAAAAACAGTAACAAAAACGGGTCTCATTGAAAGACCCTGAAAGAGCCCTGAATACCGTTGGGAAAGACGAGTAAGGAGAGGCTGCTAAAATCTCAGGGCTGGGACAAATGGAGACAATTTACTGGTGCCTGCTCGAGTAAATTGATAAACAACGAGATGACAGTGATACAATGATACAGTGAACTCTCTAGTGGTGAAACCAAGACACCTACATAGAAAACATATTTCATAATCTTTAATTCCCAAGCATCAACAATTTTAAATAAATTTCCCATATAGCAAAGAGTTTACCAATCCCTTACCAAAAAATGATGCATTTAAAACTTTTTTTTCAGGAGCAGACAATGTTTTATACTGATCCAACTACAATCAATAAGCAATGTTCTATTTTGGTCAATAAGTACTTGACGGGTGGTTGTTCCGGAACCATGATTCTGGAAATGGTGAGTAGAAAACTTGTTCTGAAGTGGAATGAGGGGAGAATAGGTCAGAGAGAAGGATACTACAACAGTGGTGGAGGGAAGTGGTCAAGTGGTAGAAGGTGCTGAAAAGTGTTATGTATGACCATATCTGTAAGAGTGAAGTATGCTACGAATAATTTGTTTGAAAGTTGCTTGTCCTAGAGGGGGGCTTATGAGTGTGAGGGAAACTAGGGACTCTATAGGAGGGAAGTGGATACTGTGAAGGGATTGGCATTGGAACAAAGTATTCCTGAAACTCAATCATGAATAATATGTAATTCATGGTGACTAAATTTTTTTTTAAAGACAAAGAATAAAGATCAGAGGAGACAGAATTTGCAAGGGCATGCAGAAAAGACAAACCTAGACACAATAAGAGCAGAACTGCCGGCCCAATTAAACAGTTTGAGCTTCTCCTAAAGGTCAGAATGGATTATTAAATATTTTTAAGCAAGCAAATGACTGCGCAGAAGTGCATTTTAAAAACAAAAACCCACAACCCTAAAACAAGCACTAACACTCTTGAAATTCAGTTATCTAAAACAAAGCAAAATAAAACAATACAAAATAGACTCCATTAGAAGTTGAAAAACAAAAACATAAATCTGGTGGTCATTTAGAAAATAAACTAAACCTGAGGATAGCAGAAACAGTAACTAGAGAGATGAAATGCCAACACAGTTGTTCTGTACAAAGGTTTGAAGGAATAAAATCTGCTTCCACCAGAGGTAAAAACATGAAAAGCAATGAAGAAATCAATGCCAGAATAGAAAGAATTCAGCAATGAATGAAGCAATCAAATTTAACACCTCATTTATAATGAACATCTGAAAGGATAGCTTGACATGAAAGTTCTAGATAATGACGTAGCTTATCCTGTAGGTACAAATATTGTTAGGCCAGTTTCAAGGCAATATAGTATTAGTATCACCCCTCCCTTTCTCTTTCTTTCCTTTTTACAACAGAATATAGGCAGGTAGACTGACCACATTGAACCATTCCTTGAAGTCCCAGAGCAGGGCATAAAATAAAAGAATTTTGGACCAGGCTCAGAAGTTCTTAGTCCTTATGAGTCACTAGACCTTAAACCCCTACAGCCACAGTGGGTCTCAGTTTCTACTTTTCAAATGAGATTAAATTTCTGCAAAGCTGTGATCAGACTTAAACAAAAGGAAATAGAGGTATTTACAGGTTAGTTTCATTTTCTCTTTTAGTATTTCTTTGGCTCACCCTGTTAGGATTGCATTGGGAATTTTTTTTCTCCAAACTTTTCCATGTCTTTTAATAAATGATCATCATTCATAAAATTACTTATAAACCTGAGTGTTTGTATAGAACTATTTTTTTAAGAAATTCTTTCACAATCTATTCTTTGCATAATTATTAAACATCTGACTGTACTATTACAACAGCCGCAAAGGACCAGAATTATTGACATCCAATAGAACTTCCTGGAGTACTGGGGCTAGAGATAGGTGTTATTCCAACCTTGCTATATCCCCACTTTGGGATTCATTCATTACACAGACCAAGCACAGTGAAGAGTTGAAAATAAAGTCATTTTCTCATACTTTGGGGAATTAGATATAAAACTGTCCTATATACAAATCTATTGTGATGAAAAGGAGAGGCAAGAAAATGGACACCTAGCCAGTAATTAATTACCGCGTGATGATGACATTCTCTGTCTAAAAAGAAGAAAAGCATCACATTATTTTTAAAAAAGACAAGCTTTGTGGAGCCGGGTACAGCAGGTAAGGTGCTTGCTTTGCACGCAGCCAACCTAGTTGGATCTCCCACTTCCCATAGGGTCCTCTGAGCACTGCCAGGAGTGACTCCTGAGTGCAGAGCCAGGAGTAACCAATCCCTGGGCATCACCAGGTTGTGGCTCTAAAATCAACAACAGCAAAAATAGACAAGCTTTGTATTATTGTTTGAAGCGGGTAGGGCGTCTGCCTTGCACGCAGCCAACATGGCCGACCCGAGTTCGATTCCTCCACCCCTCTTGGAGAGCCCAGCAAGCTACCGAGAGTATTCGATATGCCAGACACAGTAACAACAAAGTCTCCAAAGGAGACATTACTGGGCCCACTCGAGCAAATCGACGATCAACGGGAGGGCCTTTACCTTTACCTTACCTTTACTCTAACTATAACCAAGTGCTGCTTCAAAATATTCCAATAACATCATTCAATCACTAGGAAACTTACTATCCAAAATGTGACCTTGAAACCTTGCCTCCCTAACACCAGCCAGTCCGCCTGAAGCTTTTTAAATATAGAAGCACCACTTACAGGTAACCAGTACTCAGCCTTGGCATTGCATTTACTTAACCTCTAATTACAGTCACTCTTGCCAAGGAAACCTGCAGCCAGACATTTTAAGTGACCTTGCTCAAGGCTACACCTGATTCAGTGGCAGAGTCCAGTCTGCATTGCAAGCCATCCTGTAACTGTACAGATGGAAATGAGGACCTATGGACCCCGGGGAAGGAATGTTTCCGGAGGCTTCCTGGAGTATTCCTCAATTACTGAGCCAGGGTCTAGCACCTCTGGGAGATTTTAGGGCAGAAGCATAGAAGCAACCAAAGTTATGGAGTGAGGACCCTAGCACTATTTCTTTCTTTTATTTTTTTTTTTGTTGTTGTTGTTTTACAACACTTTCAAAGTTATTTCATTTTCAAAAGCAATAAAGAATTTTTTAATTTTAACTAATTTTATTGAATCAGAGTGAGATAGTTACAAGCTTTCATGTTTGGGTTACAATCACAAAATGATCAAACACACATCCCTCCACCAGTGCACATTCCCCACCACCAATATCCCCAGTATATCCCCCTTTTCCACCCTCCCCCTGCCTCCATGGCAGGCATGATTCCACATAATCTCTCTCTACTTTGGGACAGTATGGTTTGTAATACAGACCCTGAGAGGTTATCATGTTTGGTCCTTTATCCACTTTCTGCACACATCTCCCATCCCAACCGAATCCTCCAGCCATCTTTTTCTTAGCAATCCCTTCTCTATTGCAGCTGCCTTCTCCCCTTTGCTCATGAGGCAGGTTTCCAGCTATGGAGCAATCTCTCTGTCCCATGTATCTACTATCCTTAGATGTCAGCCTCATGTTATGTTGTTTTATACTCCACAAATGAGTGCAGTCTTTCTATGTCTGTTCCTCTCTTTCTGACTCATTTCACTTAGCATGATACTCTCTATGTCTATCCATTTATAAGCAAAGTTCATGATTTCATCTCTCCGGACAGTTGGTGCTGGGACAACTGGATAGCTACCTGCAAAAAAAAAAAAATGAACTCTGGCCTCTGTCTAATGCCAGGCACAAAAGTCAGATCAACGTGGATTAAAGACCTCAATATCAAACATGAATCCATAAGATACACAGAGGAAAATGTAGGCAGAATTCTCCATGACATTGAAGCTAAAAACATCTTTAAGGATGAAACAGCACTGACCATGGAAGTGGAAGCAAACATAAACAAATGGTACTACATCAAACTAAGAAGCTTCTGCACTTCAAAAGAAACAGTGACCAAAATACAGAAAGAGCCCACAGAATGATAAGGAATATTTACCCAATACCCATCTGATAAGAGATTAATATCCAGGATATACAAAACACTAGCAGAATTGTACAAGAAAAAAATCTAGCACTATTTCTAAAGAGCCCCAGTGCCCAGGTGAGGGATGCATATGACCAAGCACCTTCCATCTTGGCTCAGATCTGTGCATACCCACGCAGCAGTGGGAGTTTAGCAGCTTCTGCAGCCCACCGGAAGGAACTCGGTGTAGGGGATAGACAGGGCGCAGGTGAAATATGTCAAATAGGTTTGAGTGATGGAGCCTCTATCACTCCGTATCCCCACCCCCACGCTTCCGAGCCCGGCCCAAGAAGACAACCCCCACCCCCACCACCAGTAAGTGAGCCCCCTCTGCAAAGGACGCGCCTCCGCCCCCACCGCTGCGTCACATGTCGCCGTGACGTCAGCACACCAGACCTCCTCTAAGAAAGGGGTCCTAGGAGTCTGGGAGAGTCCAGGAGGCCTAGAAGCCCCGCACATGCGTGGACGTTCTGGCAGGCATACCTCGGTTCTTCAGTCCGGGGTCTCTAGAAGAGGGTGGATGCTGGGGGCAATGCGGTGGACGAAAGCTAGGAGGGCAGGCAGGGAACGCAGGCGAATATTCCCGCAAGTGCCCCGCGACGAAGCGTGCCCGCCTAGTGGGACCCGAGCAGTTAGTAACCGGCGAGTGGCTTCTCTGGCAACGGTCGCCCCGCCCTTCCCTACGCGCGGTGGCAGCCCATTGGTCGGTCTCTCGAAAGTCAGCGCTGGCGCTTGTTGCTATTGGCTGAAGCGAAGGGGCGGGACCAGGAGTTAGGGCTTTGTCTGTGTCTCTAATTCTCGGTGTAAACTTTTTTTTTTTTCTCCAGCCCTTTTTGAATTGCGAAAAAGCGCTTGTCCTGTGGTTTTTAACTGAGAACAAACCGAAAGGGGATAAAGCCGGTCAGTTGACTACAAAATTTCTAGCACTTGGTCTGGAAATAACCGGCTTTTGCCACCTTTTCAAGAAGTTTGACAAAGCGACGATTGCTGCAACGGGAAACTCGTTTTTAAATGTCTCCTGTTGCTGTGTAGCTGAAATCCTTCCTTGGGCCCTTAAATATGGTTTCTCATAGGTGATCTCTGAGAGACCTGGTTCTTTGTTATCTATGCTACAGGCAGCTAGTCTGGTTTATGAACTATTGGATAAGTGAGGTTAAGATTTTATTTGGGGAGAAAAAAACTGTACTCAACTCTGTTTATAGCGACTGGAATGTCATCATACTAAATTCACAAATAGAACAAGGCAACATTTTAAACAAAGAATGTTGATCATTTATGTTTCCAAGCAACGCTACCCTCCACCCCCACCCCCCATTGTTCAACGAGTTCCTAATAGTTAAAAGCTTATTCACAATGAACATGAAACTGTTTTATGTATGCAAACGCTAAAAAGCACTGAGGAATAAAGACCGAAGTATCTACTTTGTCATCGAAGGATTATGACACTGGCAATTTAACCAGCCTTGGACCAGTTTTCTCATAAAAAGTAAAATTAAAAGGTGGGGATATGTGGTGATGGGGTAGAGAGCATAATTTCCAGGACCTTTCCAGCACTATAATTTAAAATCTTCACTAACGTGGTTTAACTTGTCATAAGTAAAAAATTAATTGAACACAAAAGTTTGGCTCCTCATATTAAAAAAAAATAAATTTAATTAAGCTGCATTGATTCCAGAGATAACCTCATTTATAAAATATTCAAGGGAAACACAAAAGTAATTTAAAAAGAAGAATCTCTTTAAAATGAACGCATAAAGGCTAAGTGATAGCCCAGGGGTTAAAGCTCTTGCCTTACCTTCAGCGCCAACTTCTCTGAAGTCATCAAACCATATAGGGTTATCGTTGAGCACAAGGGGTTACTACTGAGCACAGAGCCAGGAATAGACCCTGAACACCACCGGGTGTAAGCCACCAAACAAGTTAGAAATAGAACATAAGTTTCTCAAATTTAAGCTGAGTTGTCCATGTACATTAATGGCTTTCCTTATCTTACAGTTTGAATTTGTTCCTTAAATCTGGTTTGATAATGGTTTTATTTTATAGAATAATCCATTACTTCATTATTTAAAATAGGAAAAAATAACTTAAAACTTAAAGAGTTTTATTTATTCCTGCCAACCCCAAAGTCTAAATACTATTAAGCACATGACCCATGAAACAATATACCAAGGATTCCTGAATAATTTAAAGCAAGTATACATTTTGTGTAAAAGGTCAATAATAAATATTTTCAATTTTCTGCTTGCATAGTCTTGATTATAGTGTGTAGGATACTATAAAATGTTCGAGATAGCAATTATTTTCTGATAGCTACAAATGTGGACTGTAATATAAAAATATCAAACAATGAAATAATAGGCCAAAGTTATTTGGGGGGTATAAAACTTAGTAAAATTTAAAATATATATATTATTTGATGATGTAAATTATTTCCAAAGATACCCTCACAACAATTCTCATCCCTTTACACAATAAAAGTAATTTACTTCCCCGTGTATCCCAACAACAGTATGTACTGAACTAGGCCAGTTTTGGAACCAAACCTGGAGACATGTAACAGGTTTTTCTTTCCTTTTTTAGGAAGTCGTGTGCATATCTAAGTTTTGCAATCTCCCAACTGTTGAGTGGAACCCAGCCAGCTACCAGCTGTTTCAAAAAGCTATCAATTTTGAGCACGTAGAGTGGCCAACACATTGGTTAACTATTGATTTCAAGGCTCATCATGTTCTAGCCTGATGTAACTGTAATGAATAGCTTTACTCAATGTCATGATTCAAGGGGATACAGAGTAAAACAGCTTTCATTTGAGTAAAGCTAATATGTCCCAGAATACTGGAAATTCATAGAGATGGCAGAACCCCTCTCTGAAATGCTCTGTTCCATGCAAAATATTTTATTTGGAATTCTGTCACTTCTAGAATGAGTGTAGTAGCTTTAAAAAAAAGATTAGTTTTTATGGGTTGGTCAGAAATTCAAGAAGGGTTCAATTGGAATGTGTTTTGATTTTTGTTATAGTTTCAGATGTCAGTAATTGTACTGCGCATCAAGTTAAAACCAGATTGCAGCTGAAATCGAATTTCCAAGATAATGGGCAATGTTTTTTTAGTTAATAGGCTCAATCAGGAAGCTAGAATTTCTCCTACTCTATGTCGGTGACTATTTATGTGGCAAATTTGTAATTTTTTTTACCTGGATTGGATCCTTGGCAGCACATATGTTCCCCCCAAGCCTTACCAAAAGTGATTCTTGGGTGCAGAGCCAGGAGAAAGGCCTGAGCAGCTCTAAGCAGCTCTAGGTATAGGTATAGGTATGACACAAAAAAGAAAAAAAAAGAGGAAATCTATGTTTAATGGGTGTAAAGAATGAGAGGATCAAAACCATACTTGAGGACCCCTTCTTCAAAGTGTCTTTGGAGTGATGCTGGTCCCAGTCTCACTTTCTTTTTTCTTTTTTAATTAATTTTATTGAATCACCGTGAGATAGTTATAAGCTTTTATGTTTGGGTTACAATCACACAAAAATCAACACCCATCCCTCCACCAGTGCACATTTCCCACCACCAATATCCCCGGTATACCCCCCTTCCCCACCCTCCCTCTGCCTCCATGGCAGATATGATTCCCCATAATCTCTCTCTACTTTTGGGCATTATAGTTTGCAATACAGATCTTGAAAGGTTATCATGTTTTGTCCTTTATCCACTT